CTGTCAAAATCCTCTTAACTCTTTATAATCATATACCCCTTCTAAAGTTTTATATGTACTCCTTTTAACATGTAGTAAACCATGCCTTAGTGATAATTAAGCATAGTATAAATAACTGAGCCTCTAAATTAGTCTGAGTCTTACGGAGCTACCTCATGTAGATTTTAAGGGATGCCTAACACCTTCCACTTAGAAGAACAAAAACCCTTACCCATAATCTCACCGGTTTACAGACCTGTAATGAACATAACTTAGTAATTAAATAGGTACCCTAGTATACCTTTAAATATTCTGTGGCGACTCTCTTTCAATCAACAACAGAGAAACCACAAGTTGAAACCTGTCTTGACTAATGTAAAATAGGGTGCAACAATATGGAAACTCTGCTAGGGATAATCACACATAGGTTTTGCCCTTAGCATACTTAGACTAATTTGTCCACTATATTTATTTATACCTTGCTTTGATTACAGTTGAAATTGCAATTACATGCTTATATGCTTTATTTGCTCTTTATAACTATGTGCTCTTTATGATCACTATGCTTATTGCTGCTACACCGTTGTTTGTTACTGCTTTATATACATTGTCATCATATCTCTTCCAATCGAGTCTTGGTCGTACACTATCACACATAATGGCACGCGAGGGATGTCTTTTACACCCCTCCGAACCTTTTTTTTCAAAACACTCTAGTTTCAGAGAATGGCATTGTCAGGTCAACTGACATAACTTCTCGTAGGTTTCAGTCCAATTGAAAAGTAGGAAACAAACATGACAAGACACTTAAGGATCTGAAGCAAACACTTACCCAAATATCTTTCTTTTACCCACCTCAGAAAAATGGAAATCAACCAAAACATCCTTGAAATTAGAATGGTAATGGGAGCACCACATAAGCTGAAACAGTGGTGGATGAATATTTGTCGGGAACACGGAGACGAGGTTCAGATGCACTTAGGGACATTAACGACATTGATGAACATCCGAGCGGATAGGGTGCTCACTCACCCATTGATAGAATTTTGGGATCCGGCTAAGGTGGTATTCAAATTTGCCGACTGTGAGCTGATACCGACATTGGAAGAAGTCACAAGTTTCACAGAGCTGCCATTCAATGGAAGAAATCCAGTATTGCCAGTTACTATGCCTGATTATCGGTTCTTGGATGCTCTAGGTCTTACTAACAGCAGAAGCCTCAGAAGTACCGAGGACGGATGGGTGAGTATATTCAACAGGTTTGGGCACCGTGAAAGCTACGAATGGTATCCGGGGGAGTTTCAATGTGACCAGGTGACGTGGGAGAGTCTTAGACCTATCACTTTCACAATTGCACTATTGGGATTATTGGTCTTCCCACAGCGAAGGGGTTGTATCAATATCAACCTGCTACCAGTGGTCCTGGCAACCTTCCGCAGATCTTCAAGCTACTTTAGTGCCGATGGTGTTAGCTGAGATGCTGAGATATTTGTCTGCATGTGCACGAGGGTATGGTTTCTTTAAGGGTTGTAACCTGCTACTTCAGATCTAGGCTATTGAACACTTCTTCTAGCGAGAGGCCAACATCGACTACTTCATGAGTGTCAGCAATATGATCCGCAACCACAATGAAAGAATGAGGAACTGGATCTCCCCACATAGGCAAGAAGAATAGAGGGAAACACTGATCAAGCTGCCAACAGAATGGATCAATTGGAAACTCTCTTGGTTAGGAGGAAGGGCAATCTTGAGGACTCCTCAGAAGTACTTCATTGAGTTGATCGGACTGGAAGGTATTCAACCATACTCACCCTTGCAGGTCCTGAGATGATTCAGGATGATCCAAGATGTGCCTCTGTGGATAAGGATGATGCTATACGAGGATGAGTACAATGGCCAGATCCCAATTCCCAGGATAAGAAGACTGCAAGAAGAGCGGAATGATCTGGTGACAATGCCTATGGGGCAAAACTCATAGTGTACTCCCAAGTATTACGTCTAGATTAATAAAGAAGAAGAACTAGCCCACCCAAGCAGAGAGGGTATAGACTAGTTAGAGGACGCAGTGGTTGCCTTACAAATTTATCATGAGATCCTACCGCATTATCTTGTGACCACATTAATGCATCGTCAAGTGGTCCCAGGATCCATTGACCATATGTTGCCATCGGCTGAAGATGATGATCAGGTAGTGGAGTACATCCAAATAGAGTCAAGCACAGAGCCAGAAGAAGATTTGGAGGAGGAGTCTGAATTCAACAATGATAAAGAAGAGTTTGAGGAAGACCCGAAAGAGGATTCGAAAGAGGAGCCAGAAGAAGAGAAGGATACAGGAAACAACTCAGGGGATGGTTATTAGAGTTGGTTGATTTCCCCTTCTTTCCCCACTTTGTACCTTTACCTATAGTTTTTCTCTTTTACTTTCCAAAAGGGGAATTGTCTGAGCCCATGCAACTCTACAAAAAAATGATATAATCCTTATTCCCACTTGTATCAATCCAAATTATCAATGAAAACAAATTGCTTCAGATCTAAATGTGTCATTTTAAATATCTATCAAATATTAGCGAACTAGGCCTATCTCCGGCAATGAGAGGTCCCCGCGTATTCTAGGAATGCGCTAGTTGTAATGCATGAATTATCTGTTTTGTGTGATTTTCTGCTTGCATACATGAAGAAAATGACTCTTGTTCCTTTTTTTTCTTTCTTGTTTTCCTTTTGGTTTATTATTATCCCTAAAAATAAAAGAAAGTTGGTTTGTGTTGACCAAAATTGGCGGAACCACCATACAATCTAAGGTCAAAGGGAAATATGCCAGTCGCAGAAGACCCAACTGAACATGCTCTGGTCATAGCTGATAGCCCGAGGCGATCGATGGAAAAAGACAACACTAGGAATGATGAACATGTGGCCAGGATGGCCCAGGAAATGGAGTCCTTAAGGGAGGAGGTACAACATATCAGAGAACTGGCGCACCTGGTCGTGAGAACACTTCCTTAGACACCTAGATTACCTTCTTTGGATTCACTTCTTGATCATTTTCCTTCAACATCACGCCAAAACAACAACACCCCAACTTCAAATCCCACCACTTAAGTCATACCTCCAGTAACCCCCTCTAACCCACCAAATCCCCTTATCCACACTCCTTACGTACCACAATACACTCAGACATCACAAAACCCGCCTATTATCACTAATGCAACTACCCCTTCTCGTGATAGAGTCACTTTCACCACTAACCAGCACATAATTGTGGGACATGCTACCGCTCGTGAGCGGTATGTTCCCCATGTATATGCCATTTCTAAACCTACCTTTACAGCACCTGTCACAGTCATGGTGCCTTATGATATTAACCACTACGCCGAGATGGAGAGAGAAGCTAGGCTTAAGGAAGAAGAGTCAGTGTCTGAGTAGTTGCAAATGTTGAGAAGGCAAATGACGAGTCTCCAAGTTGCCCGAGGAAGTGAAAGTTTGGACTATGAGGACATGTGTATTCATCCAGATGTGGATATGCCAGTAGGGTACAAACCCCCAAAGTTCGATATCTTCGATGCGATGGGGTCCCCTCACGCACATTTGAGGGTATATTGTGACAAGTTAGTCGGGGTGGGAAGGAATGAGAAATTAAGGATGAAATTATTCATAAGAAGTTTGAGGGGAGAAGTACTCACCTGGTATACCCGATAGGACCCACGAAATTGGAGAACTTGGCAAGTTATGGTGGAGGACTTCATGAATCATTTTCGATTCAACACATAGATCACTTCTGATCGGTTCACACTGGTAAACCTACAAAAAAACCATCTGTGTCATTTCAAGAATATGCACTACGATGGAGGTTGGAGGCTGCCGGAGTGCAACCTCCGCTTGATGACAGTGAGCTAACCAAGTATTTCATCCGAGCCTAGGAGGGAATATACTTTAAAAAGATAATGGGAATGATCGGCCAAAAGTTCCCCGGGATGGTCAAGATGGGAGATTTCTTAGAGGAGGGTATAAAATCCAGTAAAATGCAATCTATGGCAGCACTACAAGAGGCCAACAAGGCTATCCAGTCAGGGTCAAGCGGTAGTGGAAAGAAGAAGAAAGATGAGGTCTCAACGGTCGTCCCTTACTACCAAACCAACCCACCTCATGGAAGCACCTCTTATTCCCCAAACAACCACTCACCACCACCCACTTACACTCCAGTCTATAATACCCAGCCATATTACCACCCTCAACCACAATACAATCCTCCTCAAGCCAACAAAAACCAAAACCCACAACGACCATATGCTCCTGTCCAAACCACTACTCATCAAAACTGACATGTTTATGCACCACGCCCTCGTCCCAACATTGAAGAAAGGGGTCCCAAAACTTATACCTTGATTTCTGAGCCTCTGGCCCAATTGTTCGAAAGTTTGAGAAGAGCATAATTGATACACCCAATCGAGGGAAGGGTTCCTGAGCATCCCTCCAAATATTTTGATGCCATTAAAAGATGCGTGTATCATTCCAATGTACCTAGGCACGATACTGAAGACTGTTTCAAGTTGAAAAATGAAATTGAAATCCTGATCAAGAGCGAAGCCATTCAGTGCACTCCGGCACCACCTAATGTGAATCGCAACCCGCTGCCAAATCATTGAAACCAAGGATCTAACATGATCACATTAGACGAAGAATATGACCTGAAGAGAACAATTGTCGCTATAGGGAATGCAAAAGACGCAAGGATCCCTCCTCAAAAGGCTACGATCATTACAGTACAACTAAGGCCTATAGTGACAGTTCAAACATATCCGCAGTCTGATGCTACTCGGGACAAAGAAGATCAGGAGTACAAATCCGTCCCATGGACTTACCAACAAAAGGGAAAGGCCAAAATGATAGACTCTGCCGCAGCCCATGGTATGACTAGGCCTGGGAGATGCTACGCCCCTGAAGATGTCAATTAACGAAATACGGGGAGAGAACAAATTCCAAGGAGGAACATAACAGACCCAGAAGCCGCTAAGTTTTGGAAAAGAATGTCAAGCAAAGAGTATTCTGTGGAAGAGCAGTTGAAGAAAACTCCAGCACTGATATCTATCATGGATCTATTAATGAGCTGTGACAGTCATAAGGACGCTTTGTTGAAAGTACTAAGTGGGATAAGTGTACCAAGTAACACCATTAGCGAGGTGTTGGCCGCGACAATTGGGAAAATAGTCAAAGCAAACATGATCACTTTCATAAGAGACGATGGACGACCCTTGAACATTTTAAAGGGCTTGGACGGCTTATTTTTGGTCATTTTCGACCAAGTATAGTTCACAGACTCTCTCATACCTCTATAACTGTTCTCAAGGGTTCCAAGTCGAATCCAATGGTGTTTTACCTAAACCTAACAGCAAATGTTAGCCTAAGTGAAGAAGAGAGTCTATATGGTGTTATGATGTGATTAAGGGTGATTATAAGCTAAGGGAAACTTTGGTTTGAGTTTTTCCAAATTATTTAAGGTATGTATAATACCCTATTTCTTTTGATTAATCGTATCTATGTATTGGTTAAGTTATCTCGATGAAGAATTATAAGATAGAACTTGAAGTTGTATAAGAAATTATTGTCTCTTATTGGACTATTTTGGAGTTCTATATATGACTTCATATGGCTGTAAATCGTGGGGAATAGCTTGGTTATAATGTTCTTATTGTTTTTATGCTTGTCAATATTTTGAGTATATTGATTATGTGGTAAATAGGAGAAGAAGCAACAACATAATACCTAGAAGTTGTTCATGTCGTTGTTTTTTCTTGTGGGGTTGTTTGATGTTACTTTTATGATGGATATAAGGTTGGAATGTCATGTCAATATATATGTTTATATGCTGCACCTATTATTGGCATTGTAAGTACAGGGGAGATTGGAAAAGAGTTGGGGTTTGGTTCCAATCCAAGCTTGTCGCTCATCGTGTTAAATAGCAGTTTTGGGTGTGACGTTTGTGCACTTGTTGTTATGTAAATTGATTGATGTTATTGGGCTGTTGGTATATGGAATTGGATAAGGCCCTTGTTACAGGGGAGATGCTGCCCAAATTTACATAAACGAGCTACTAGCTTACGTTACGGACTTAGCCTTTACTCAGCATCGATTTTGAATCTCCTTATGCTATGGTAGACTGAGTTGAGTTGTTTGAAGAGTTGCTTGGAAGCTATTAAGGACCCAGCATGGTTAAGGTATGTTAGGATAAACCTTTCCATCATTTTGACATGATCCCGTTACTACATGTGTTTGATAACGAGGCATAAAGAGAAGTTCATATTCCTGAATTTACACACATTATCTTAGTCTCAGAAGTTACAGTATTCTCCCTTATCGGGAATNATATATATATATATATATAGTATTACAGTATTTTCACCACCATAGAGCTATAATCGATGGGCAGGCCCCTATTGGCCAACCTTTGATCAGATGGTAAGTTATATACCGAGCCTACTATGGCCGAGCACCTATGAGCGAGCCCAAAATTCCGAGACACAGAGCCTAGTATGGCTTAGCGTCTATGAGCGAGCCTACTACGGCAGAGCAGTTATATGTACCGAGCCTTATAGGGCCGGACAACTATTTTATTTACTATATTGAGGGACTTGAGTCAGTATCAACAGGTAAGCATATCTTCATATCATCTTTGACTCCCAGTTACTTTCAATTATTATATTATCAGTTCAGTTTCAGCTTCCAGTTATTTTGTTGCCTTACATACTCGGTACATTATTTTGTACTGACGTCCCTTTTGTTGGGGATGCTGCATTTCATGCCTGTAGGACCTGATAGATAGCTGGATAGACCTTCCCAGCAGACAGAGTCAAACATCAGCTTGGTTGAAAATCTCCACTCCCTCAGAGTTACCAGATCTAGACCTTGGAGTCAATTTTTTATATATAGGTTTGATGGGTAGGCGGAGGCCCTGTCCCGACCATGCTACAGTACATCCATCAGTAGAGGCTTGTAGACACATCCTGTCAGTTAGTGCAATATGTTGGGCTTGTAGACCATATATATATATTTTTGTTGGTTTGTCAGTTGTAGTAGTTATGACGGCCTTGTTGGCCCAGCTTTATATTGATGTTCAGTCAAAGCTAGTTTTCGTTCAGTTTTATATTTTGTTTCACAAATTGTTTTGCAATGTAGACCTATGGCCAATGTATGACATTGTATGTTTAGAGTCCCTCAGTCGCAAGTTGGTATGCCAGGTCAAGTGAGGCACCGGGTGCCGTTCTCGCCCCCAAATTCGGAGCGTGATAGGATGGTCCACCAAGAATGTCAAGATACTTCCGTACCTGCACTGCATGAAGGATCTATGCAAGAAGTTCACAAAGACTGAGTTCAAGCACGTCCTCAGGATTCAGAACGAGTTCGCTGAAGCCCTTGCAACCCTATCATCTATGATTTAACATCTAGACAAGAACTACATCGACCCTATCGAGGTAGAGATCAGGGACCAACATGCCTATTGCTTCCATGTAGATGGAGAACCTGATGGTAAACCATGGTATCACGACATCAGGAAATTCCTTGCATCTAGAGAATACCCGGAGAATGCTACTAATGGTCAAAAGCGAGCCTTCGGGAGGCTGCAAAACCACTTTTTCCTCAACGGGGAAGTCCTGTACAGGAGTACCCTAGATTTAGGTTTGTTGAGATGTGTAAACGCTGCCGAGGCAACCAAGTTATTAGATGAAATACATGCAGGAACGTGCAGACCCCACATGAATGAGTTCACATTAGCCAAGAAGATCTTGAGAGCTGGATACTTTTGGATGACTATGGAAAGCGATAGTATCCGCTACGTACAAAAGTGTCACTAGTGTTAGATTCACGGGGATTTCATCCGAGTTCCACAAATTCCACAACCTACAGACCCCAAATGAATAGGGAAGTCGAGGAGGCTAACAAGAATATAAAGAGGATTCTATGAAAGATAGTGGACAATCACAGACAATGGCACGAGAAACTATCTTTTGTCTTACTGGTTATCGGACCACCATGAGAACATCCACTGGGGAAACGTCGTACAAGTTAGTATACGGCACTAAAGTTGTGATACCCATAGAGGTCGAAATACCATCTTTAAGGGTCATTCAAGAGGAAAAATTGGACGATGCAGAGTGGATATGGGTCAAACAGGAGCAACTTGTGCTCATCGACAAGAAAAGAATGGATGCAGTATGACATGGTCAGCTATATCAGAACAGGATGGCAAGTGCATTTAACAAGAGAGTGAAGCCTCGCCAGTTCACACTAGGGTAGTTGGTCTTGAAAAAAATCTTTTCCCACCAATAAAAAACCAAGGGAAAGTTCGCACCAAACTGGTAAGGTCCTTACGTGGTTTACCGAGCACAGTCGGGTGGATCTCTAATCTTGGCAGAAATGGATGGAAGAATCATCACAAATCCCAACAACTCAGACGCAATCAAGAGATACTATGTTTGAAGTCAAATAGAGCTAGGTTTTTTTATGTAATAGAACTATGTCCAACCTGATTTCCCACGGAGGGATACGTAGGCAACCCACATAGGGTTCAGTTTCTCTCCCCCCTTCTCTTTTGTATTAGAAAAATAAAATATCACTTTTGTATGTTTCTCATGAACTACACCGACTTGATTTCCTTAGAAAGGAATACGTAGGCAATCCTCATCGGATTCAGTCATCTTTTGTAATTAAACTACGTTCTGGCCTGATTCCATTTGGATACGTAGGCAGTGTGAGTCAGACTCGGCCATTTTCATTTTTAAACTCATCATTTTGCATCTGTTGTAATCGAACTACCCCTTAACCTGATTCCATTTAGATAAGTAGGCTTCCTGAGTCAGGCTCGGTCACTTTTATCATATTTTATCATAATCCACGAACTATGTTCAGACCTGATTCCGTTTTGGATACGTAGGCAACCTGAAAGGGTTTGGTCACAACCTTAGGAAAACCTTTGTAATGCATTTGTACAAATTAGGACGCATTCAAAACGACGAGCAGTCGCGTTGCCAGAAGCATCACAGAAGATCGACATCAACGAGATAAAGTTTTCAAGAAGAACCATTCACGTATGGAGAACTTTTCGCAACATGCCATAATCCAGAACGACGGCATTTTCTTTAAAAACAAAGTATTTTCAAAATATTTTCTAAAAATATAGTAATTTTTTCCACCTATCGAACTTTGCGGCGCAACCATATCAAAGGCCAAGAAAAACCAACACTTTGGTCGACACAAACCAACTTTCCTGCCCCAATTAAGAATTTGTCTTTGAGTGTAGGGTAAACAGGGAGCAAGGAAGCATTAAGACCACATTGGGGAAAATGAGGATCTGCCACTTGACTAAGATTATCTATCTTTCTGCTTTACTTGAATGTTTTTAGTATAGTTAGGGCTAATCTTTGAATCCTTTGCAGGTACCTTGGAGTCAGACCAATGATAGAGAATCCATGTATATAGAAAATTGCCTGCTCAACTAATCGGAGCACCTTGTACAATAAAGTTGTCGGCTTCACCAATTGAAGCCTTGTATATACTAAACTGCATGCTCAACTAATCAGAGCACCTTGAACAAACAAGTTGTCGGATTCACCAATTAAAGTCTTGTATATAGCTAACCGTTAGCTCAATCGATCAGAACGCCCTGTACAAATCGAACGTCGAATTCGCCAACCAGAGCCTTGTATATACCAATTTGTACAGTTCGCCAACAAAACAATTTGCATTGTCTCTCCTTCACAATGGATGCCAGAATAGACAGTCACAAAACTCGTCACCAACGTTCTGCCAATCGATGGACACAACTTAGCTTCACAATCAAGAGTATCCCTTGGGCATGCTTTTCTTTTCCTTTTCTATTACTTTGAATGCTTTGACATTTTGCTCATGCATCTTTAGGCATGATTGCAGTTTTAGTCAATCACTCCCAAGCGGAAATCACTTTACAATTCAGTGGAAAGCTCTCCCAACAAGCGGAGACTCACTCTACAAATCAAGCTCTCCCAACAAGCGGAGAGGTGCACTCTACAAATCAAGCTCTCCCAACAAGCGGGGACATTTCTCAATGCAAAGCCCTCTTAACAAGTGGAGATGCACTCTACAAATCAAACTCTCCCAACAAGAGATAATTTTTAAATGCTCTGATAGCTGCTAAATGGTACACAACCCGGCTAACAAATCGAGTCAAGATCAAGTATCCCATCATCCTGATCCCAAATAACGGCGCACCGACATCCAGGCATCATCCTTCCTGCATCATTTACATCACATATTAATATATTCCGCATTGTAAAATATTGGTATGCGTGTATTTCATTTATTTTGCAGGAACAAACATCGCAGCATGGAACTCTTTTCTAAGCAGTAGTCCAAACTATAATGCTATGAGGGACAACAAACACAATATAGGCCAAGGATCCAAGTTCGAGCACAAAACGCTCAGTGAAACTCAAAATTTTCAAATCCTTCAAATTAAGCTCCAAAATTCAAGCTATCATGAGTACCAAATCCTCCTTCTCGCCATATCTTCATAATATGATAGTAGGGCTATTCATGCGAGTATCGCTTCCTCAAAAAATCTTCACTCTAGAACTACATGAGGCTTGATCCTCGTTAAACACGAGGTATGTAAACAATTCAAAGCCAGAATTCGGCTCCAATCTCTCCAAAATTCTTTCCAAAATCCTCCTAGAATCTTCCTTAACTCCCAATCTTGCAGTCATAATCTTCATGCCACTCCTGCAATGCATGACTAAAGTCGGGACAAAATTGACTTTGGTTTAGTTTCTTTGCCCGAAAATTCTTTCATCGTCTCTGGGCAAAGAGGGGTAGTTGTTGACGGACAATTTTGACACCCCTTTTAAAATTAATTTACTTATACATAATAATTAAAAATAAATATTTGAAAGTATTTTCTAGTAATAAATACCTATTTCTACAAATTACTTAATTATTATTTTTGAAATAAATCACCTAGCATTAGTATTATGTAATTACAAATATACTTACTATTTTAAGATAATTAAAATAACTTTATATACATCATATAGGCCTTATAATTAATTTGATAAATTACTCTTTAATTTCTAGTTAATTAGACTACTATGTTAATAATTTGGAATTAATGCTATAATTCAAAAATGAAGTATTTATAAACAATTAATTACAATAGTTAGTAATGTATATAATAATTATTATTTTACTGCTTTTTATTGAAAATTATTAAGCTTATTTAATTTAATTATAAAAGGGATCAAAAGAAGCTAAATGTTATAATTGCAGTTCTCTATTAAAGACCAATTGGCCATTCTTTAAATCAAAACTAGCCCAATACCCAAGCCCAATCCGGAATTAATCCAGTCCAAACAAACTCTCCAGTCCACCCTGGCGATCCTTGCCTCTCTTTTTAAACTAATAGTTGTGCGCCACGTCGCCTTTCACATCCCCTCACAAAAAAAATACAACTGATCTGAGTCGTCCATCCCACAGATCAACGACTCTGAATTTATCTCTGTTTTCCTTTTAAATTTAATAGTCGCAGCGAGCTTAATCTTGGTCGTTGAAACCAGGGAATCTAACAGCTCTCAAAATTCATCCATAAAAATGCTTAAATCCCAAATTATCAGGAATCCCTTCCCCTAAGTTTAACCTAAGAGACGACCCCAACTATTCTCTTAACCCTAATGATTTCCACATTAAACGGTCGCCTCTCATTTCCCCTTTCGTTCACTTTTATCTCAACCTCCTATGAACGTCAATCAGCAGACCTTGCACAAATTCGTGCAAGTTCATGAGATTTCTCAGCAAATCATCTCTCCTGCCTCCCTATAACTGAATCTCGCTATATTTCCTGCTTCATTGATCAAATTTGAAACACCAGACATGGTCCGTAAAGTTGAAGCACTCATTTCAACTTCGTTCTTTAAAATCCAAACATGCAAAATCATCCACTTTGTCCCTAGGTTATGAGACCAATTATCAACTTTCCATTTTCACTGATTAAATTCAAAACCCCTCAAATCTGAAAACCCTAGCTAAAGGTGTAATTTCAAATAACTTAAATCCCCTCTCGCTCCGTCAAATCAAAGCATGCATGCAGTTTTCAGAGGATTCATTATGAGGATTCTTTACCCAAAGGTCAAACGCAGTGACCTCTGGGTTTTAAGTCTTGCCCGATGGTCCTCTACCTTCAACGATCAATCTCTCTCTCCTCATGTAAAAATCCTTGTTGTTTCCCCTCTACTTTTCTCTAATTTCACACAATTTGCTCACATCATCAGCTCATCATCATCTTCCACTATCTAATTTGAATTTTGTTGAATCCAAGAGGCATTAAATGCCACTATAAAAGGAGCATTCAATTCTCTCACCTAACAGGCCAGACCTAACATGAATACAAGAAGCAACACTAAGATTTTATAAAAAATTAGGTTTCCTTACTGATTTTTGGTTTTCTCTCTTCGTTTCTGAGTGCTTTCACTGCTTAAGCTTGAAGCTTTTGGTCCAAAGCAATTGGAAAGAATCTCTGTTTCGTCTGTTACATTAGAGAAGGTCAATAAACCTCCAACTTTTCTCTTTTGATTGTTTTATTCAAGTATCACGAACATGCTGTTATATTTTTATTGATTTTGTTCGTTTATGATGTTTGTCATTAATGGATATTATTTCTAGTTCATATAATGTGTTATTGATTTGTGGTCATTTGTCATATTTTTGAGTATCTCTAATTGGTATTGATTAAGTTGTTATGTGACATTAAAGATTTTCGTTCTGATTTCAAATAGTCTACATGATTAAGTTTTCCTTAAGATGCCTTAATGGCTTCTCATGTTTGCCT